ACTTCGATCTTGTGATTGGAAACAACTGAATATTGATTGTCGAGTTAGGATTTGTCGATTCCCATGATTAGTTAATTAAACACCTTCTAATTGAATTAGCGACTTTTAGACCGAAAGGGAAGAAGTCGTAGACCTAGACTCGCATGAGATAGATGATTTCGTAACTCCCCGACTGCAGCTCTCAGCATCCCGCACGCCACGCCGCGCAGCTCCTTCGCGCCGCGGCACCACACTGCCTCGCGCCGCGGCAGCACCGTCACGCCGCGGCAGCCACTCCCTTCGCGCCGCGCCATACTTTGCCACGCCGTGACTCATGTTTTCCTATATATATGCGCTAGGGATCGCGATCAGAAAAAAAACCTCTCGACCGGGGTGAAAACCCTAGGTCCAGAAAAACGCAAAAACCCACTTCTCCTCCTTTTCTTCTTCTTCTTCTTCGTTTTTCTTCTTCTTCTTTTCACTTTTATTTTCCATTTTTCTTCTTCTTCTTTTTAGTAATCAAGGATTGAGCTTTGTATTTTTGGATTCAACACTCGAATTTGGGATTGATTGTAAGTCTTTCTCTTTTGACCAATTCATGAAAATGATTGTTTTGAGGAGAATGATTAATTGTGTTGAATTAATTTTACGTAGCTAATTCTTTTGCAAGGGATAGAGGATGATTGTTCTTGGTTAATTTGCATTTGTCGGGCTTAAATTGTTCATGCTTATGTGAGTTGAATTGATTAGGAATTGATGAATTTGTGCTTGATAGTTTGATATAATCGAAGGGTGATGGTAACAATTGAATATTGATTTGTCGAGTTAGGGTTTGTTAATTCCATATGATTAGTTGATTAATCACCTTCTAATTGAATTAGCGACTTTTAGAACCGAAAGGGGAGAATTCGTAGACCTAAGCTCGCATGAGATAGATGATTTCGTAGCTGAATAATCTATGGGTTGAGATTGAAATACGTGCTTGTCGATGACCCGTCCCTTGTTACAAAAAGTTATTGGGATTGGGATAATTGGCCTGTGTTGTATGCTCGAGCTTGTTCGTCTATGTTCAATCCCTTGTTACGAAAAGTTATTGGGAGCGAACCGTTAGATGTTTAAGCGAGAGTGTCAATCTCGAACCGAACAATTGACTGCCCGGCTTTGCTAGAACTTGAATTAATTATCCCCGATTCCCTAGCTTCTTCATCTTTGTTCCGTTCGCTTTTTTAGGTAGATTATTGCTTTTTATTATTTCTTAGTTAGTAATTATTCCATCCCTTATCTGATTAGAGTGTGTAGGATTTATTTTCTTTTTCTGTGCAATCAATACCAAAGTTAGATTCCGAACAGCCTTCCTCGAGAGATCGACCCGGGGAACGAATCTTTCGATTCGGTACTCAGTAAAAATAATAATTTGTGTTACAACAACGGTCATGATCATGTTCTTAATCATGACCGCCTCGAGATCAGACCACCAACTTGGGCCAGGATGAAAAGCTGGGGGACCGTTAGAGGGAATCTCGATGAGTCACTCAAGTTTTCAAGATTAACCATCAAGGTCAGATGTTACCCAAGGGCATCCCCATCATCACACCTCAGATTGTCATCAAGAGCCTCGCTTAGTTCAGCGATGACAGAGCATGCCCCGCACATAACATCCCAAGAACAACATATTGACACTCTAAAAAATATTTTGTCGGTGTCTATATACTTCTTCTTTATATAAAGGGAGCGACCCAGATGTGGCTTGTCACCGACTGAATACTAATAAAATTGTGAAGCTGGTCATACGAAAAAAAAAATAAAAATGAATGCCTGATCAAGAGCAAACTTTGGAATAAAAAGTGCCCGAGTTGATTAACAACAATTATTACATTTACGATAAGATGTCTTTCGCCGAAGTTCGTCACATCCGTTTTTCATTGGACATCACCTGAAAAAATAGAGAACAAAAAAAGGAGGTAAAAAGAGGATGAGAGCGGGAGAAATGATAAAAAAAACTTTATTTTTTTATTTTTCCAGAAACGATAGGTAATCTCATAGCAATAAAAACAGAGTTCAAATACAATCTGGTACAAGTCCTAATGCCAAAGGTAAAAACCAGAGAGCACTACTTACACAAGTAGGCTAAAATAAATACATGAAATACACCAAAGGCAATGGGAAGCTGGATCCTTTAGTGAACATAGTACAACTAAAAAACAAAGATACAAACAAGAGAACCAAACCACTGAACTACAGAGTAGACCTAGTTAGGAGCTCACTGCTTGTTTGATGATCAAGTGCACTTAACCATAGTTTCCTGCCATTCACCCAAAGCACCTTTGACAATGATGTGCTCGGGCCTCCAAGAATTTTCAAAAACCCAAAGGTTTCTAGATTTCCAAAGCCACCACAGAATGTAGGTGGTGAGTTCTATTATGTGTTCAGCAGCTTTGGAGTTATCAAGACAGCAAATTGTTCCCCACCAGTCCTTGAATTGACAGTTATCCACTTCTGTGCCATCCCAGCCAACCGGTGCAATCTCCCAAACCTTTCTTGCTCTGGAGCATGTTAGAAGAGCATGCTCAACAGTTTCTACAGTTCCCCACAGCAGGGGAAAATTGTATCAACATCCACTCCATTCTTTTCAGATTTAGGTTCACAGGCAGGGAATTGGTGTTACACTTCCAGAGATAGTGTTTTAATTTACTTTTGGTCTTGATACTCCAGCTTTTGTGTCTGACTTGCTGATTTCTTTTTTATTTTACTGCTTCCTTCTGCAATGTCAAGTGAGTGTAGCTTTTGGAGGAACAAAAAAGCATAGGATGATGAGACTGTGAATCTGCCTTGAGTACCAATACTCCATTTCCACCTGTCAGTTGAGAGAGTATCAAGTGAGTTGATTTTGATAACTTCTGTGTTGTCCTGGTCCACAAAAACTTCTTTCACCCTTTGTTCATTCCAAGTGTTGTCTGCATTCAACAGATCCTTCACCCAAAGTTTTCCTTTGTCAGCTCCATTTTTGAAATGTAGAGGTGTTCCTCTAATACATGGAACCCAGTTAAAGTCTTGCAGCTGGACAGTTGCTCCATTCTTGATTTCTACAGACAGGCCCTCTTTCAGAATCCACCTGACTTTTAACCATGACTGTAACACCCCGCTTATCAGAGTAAATTTTTCGCAACTTTTATTTCGAAATTACTTATAACTCTTTCGAAATCTTTTTGCGAATAACNGGAAATATAAAAGATCATTATTAGTAAAATAGTTCTAACTTAGAACTGAAATAATTATTTTTATGAATTACTGAATGGGATATTACAATGACCTCCATAGCCAAGAGGAGTTCTGCTTCAGTTTTGCTTCAAAAATAGATGATTTGGGGAAGTATCTGCTTTTGAGAATCCTACTCATAAAGAGTTGTGGCTGAGTAATCACTCTCCAGAGTTGCTTTACAAGCATAGCATCATTGAAGAGGGATATATCTTTGAAACCAAGCCCACCCTGCTTCTTAGAAAGTGTCAGCAGGTCCCACCTCTTCCAATAAATTCCATTGCTCTACTCATTATTCTTGCTCCACCAGAAATTGGCAAAAATGCTTGTCACCTTTTTGCAGATGGCCACTGGCAGTTTAAACACAGGAAATGACAAACAGAGGTAGTGCATTCAGAATAGATTTGACAAGCACCTCTTTCCTGCAGATGTCAAGTATTTGTTTTTCCAACTTAGCATTCTGTTTCTTATTGCTTCAATCACAAACCCAAAGACCTCCTTTTTTAAGTGGCCAATCCCAAAGGGTAGTCCCAGATATCTTGAGGATTTCTGAACTTGAATTCCTGGAAAGACCTGACAGACTTATTGTTGTACAATAGTGTTAGAGTTTTTGCTAAAAAAGATGGACGATTTTGAAGTGTTAACCTTCTGGCCAGAAAATTTTTGGTAGCAAGAATTGATTTGATGGCCCTTGCCTGCTACTCATCTGCTTTGCAAAACAAAATCGAGTCATCAACAAACAGGAGGTGAGTGAGAATTGGTGCTTCTCTGGCCAGTGACAAATCCCTAAAAATTTCCCTATCCACAGCAGCTGAGATCATAGCAAAAAAACTTTATAAAAGTAGATAAAATTCTTATGTGATGTTGACAAGATAATTTTTTGTATCTTTTTTAATCATTGTTAGAGAGTTAAGTGAAATGAATGTGTATGAAC